ATGTGACTGAATGCAGTTCAGTCAAACCCGACAACAGTGCAGTGATGTTTTATATACACATTCTTTTGTACTTTTTAATGACTATTTCAAAATTGATTTACTTTTTCTTTCTCAACTTGGAATTACAACTTGAAGGCTGATGTGAAATGTTTTTATGACTCAGCTGCTGCTAATGACAGTTTAAACAATATGACAAAAATGTGCCATTACTAGGGAGTTCCCAGTCAAGTCTGATCTCTGGCCAAGCACAGGAACTGACCGCAGACATAACTCTAACAGACAACAAGTAAGTTACTCTCAGAATCAATGTTATGTGGCAACAGTTGTCATGACATGACAGCGACATCTGTCATTTTAACCACTGAAAGCAGCAATCAACGAAGGCTAAAAAGCAGAAGCTGCTACTGGAGTGTTGTGTACACTGCTCTTTGCTAATAATGATTAGCATTGAAACTCAGCTGGTCTATGCATTGTGCCAACCTCAGAGTCACTTTATGGTGCAACCAAACAATTTTTCACATTCATGCACTAATTGCCATTCACATGTGCAGTACAATGTTTGACGTGTAGAGCCTGGACAAGGTGGACAAAACACAGCAGGATCAGATTTGGATCAGCTTTATTTTAGGTAATATCGAGCAATTAAAATATGCCAGTGAGGATCGACTCATGAACCGTCACTTACAAGAGAAAGTGCAAAACAAATCCTGTCACTTCAAGGGACAGGGCAGTACTTCCCTGTTCTATAAAAGAAAGAGGAATTTTGGTGCCTCAGGGTAAAACATAGGTCCAAATTAAATTCCACACATTCTCTCCCAGCGCTGCCTAAGGGTATCCCACAATCTCTGTAACAGGAAAGTCATTAACTGGAAGGGTTGTCCAGGAGGAAGGAGAGGAAGACGGAGCCTGGGACAAAGGGAATATGAAAAATATGTTAAAAGAGTGAAAGACAAGGGGGAATAAAAGATAAAGGGGTGAAAAAATGAGAAGAGGGATGGAGATCAAGAAAAATGCTACTGGAATTGTGCACACATTAGATGCAGAAGAAAAGCAAAATGGTATTTAAGCTTTGCTCTATTCATAATAATCGCTCCTTTCAGATCTGTCATTTCTCAACAACATGTCTGATTCTTTCTTCCCCACAGACAGGTAATCAGCTCCTATCAGATCCAGACCTCGAGCTAAAGTACACATCTGACATAGCTTCAAATATTTGAACTAGTTGAGGTGTGTTTGATTTAGACTGTCACAAATTTAGCATCTTTTGAATGAAGGCATAACACAAGATAAGAAAAGTCAGCCTAAATAAATCATGCCATGCCTGTTATTCAGTTTGTATTTAACCACAGTTTAGTAATCTAATTCTTATAGAGTGGATATGGGAACAAAGCAATTTGAAATTCATAGTGTAAACAGAATAAATGCAACTCAATAAACTGGACTTTACCTGAAAATAAACAGATAGATGTGGAAAGCGCTAATAGCAAGGAGAGAGAAAGAATGTAATAAATATCTTTTGGAAGTCAGATCGTGGGTCTCCCTGTTGTACTTAATGTACCCCACAAGACAGCTTTTATCATTCAGCTGACGTGGCACATCTTTTATATTTCTGATCTCAGAAGCCATGCAGTGTGAATCATTTCTCCAACAAAATGTCGGCCTCTACTTCTAGATGATGCTTTTATGTTAAAGTACAGAAGACATCCAGAAGACATCACCTCCCAGACATAAAACAGATAATAAAGATGTACTTTCTGGCTTAAATCTGTTTTTTTTCTGGTCTTACTCCCTTGTGATGATCATGACCGTTTCCTGATTAGACACTTTCAATATCCATCCCAGTGGGGGGCTGTTACCAGGGATACAGCCTAGGCTGAAGCATGGCATGTGGCTAACTGTTACAGCTACGACGTCCCTGGGTGATTTTTCATTAACTGGCCATAAAGGAGGCTCTGTGTGAAACCATTGCAAGTGGCCTCAGATCTTCTCCATGGAGCACTTTACCCAGAAAGAAAAAACAAAGCAAACAAGACAGGGAGGGAAATATGGAGGTAAAATTTTGCCTTCAAAGTGCAGTCAAACATTGTGTCTTTATAATTTTTTTCCACAATGTGGAAAGTCTGACACCCTGTCTTTGTCACTGCTAATCCTGCCCAAGAATGGCTGTGGACAGGCATGTGCAGCCTGACATGTGGTGCGTCAGTCACTTCTTTTGACCTTGACATCGACGGCTCCCCACCTGCAAACACAGCCAATTATGTTTGTGGGAACGTACAACCAAGCTGGAGGTACTGCTCCTGGGAACCGAACCAGGCTTACGCCACTGGTAAATATTTAATCACCCTGTATGTCAGGCATGTAATGCGAGTCTACCACAGATCATTTGAACCCTCAGACCTCGAACATCCAGATCTACTATTAGTGCATGCAAATGTAAAAACACAGACATTGTGTTTACTGTGCATAGTCAGGTTTTCTACTGTTTGCATTAGGAATTAGCACACCAAAGATTCTGTAGTGAGTCACATCATCTGTCAGCACAATATACTACAGCCTGAGAGAAAACTGCACCAGGCCATTGTCCTGAAAAATGGTAAACAGTGTAGACAGATATATGAGGTTGAGACTAATATAGAGGTGATCAGCACAAGAATTCTTAATGGATCATTCTCAGTTTTATAATCACCTCATCTTACTCATTGTAATATGCAATAAAATGTGAGTGATCCATATTATCTGAATGCATAAACCATGTAACAGCATGGCTCTGTTCCCCAACACCACTGGGCCTGGGTGAGACTTCAACAGGACTGTTTTCTAACTTGTGAAACATCTTTTTCACAAATGTGTTTTTTCATTGGTAAGACTTCAAAATGACTTTTTTGAGAAAAAAAATACAGCCTTTACCTTAGATATAAAACACTAGTTCATTCAAGGTCATTCAATACTGAATCACAAAGAGCTACTCTTTAATACTCTTTAATGTCACATAAATGAGAAGCCCATTTGCCGTCATCTCAGTAGGGAATTAGAGAAAGCTGATTCCCCAGACAGATTTCTCCTGGAGAGTGACTATGTGTACACATAACTGGGCTTGTAATCAGGTTCTACATGTACATACAATATGCACAGGACAAAGGCATGAGATGATGGTGCAAGACAATGAAATGAGAGATAATTACACATAGAGATGCTTCTTCATATCTGAAATAGTTCCATCCAAAGTCTGACTATAACTGAAACACAAAGTAGCCTCCACAACTCCTGCTGTGAGGAAAAGCTGTTCTCTGGCAGTCTGCCTTTTCACTACATTGCCAGTTGGCTCCAGCACACACACAAGAAAAACTCAGGAAGCAGCATCTTCTACCACTAACACCACTGAAATAAGCAAGCCATACTTCCAAAATAAGATCAGGGTAAAAGAAAAACATACTGTTGTAACCTGATTACTACAGTGCAGGTGAATATGTTCTCCAATTATGTGGCCCCCTGCCTTGTTTCTTGAGTGTATCAAAATGATATTGTAGTGCTGAAGGAAAACACCTGCTGAGACACCACACTGGTTATGACTGCAAGATGCAAGGTGAAATAACAGGGGAGGGACTTTCAAGAGCCAGCAAATGTTACTTTCTTTGAAACAAGTTGGGGTATTAGTTACATCGGCAGCATATAACTGAGTGAGAGATGGGTATGAAAACTATAGGATGACGAATTAAACCCAGTGAAGTGGAAAAGCACCAAGATACCACACTGTGTGGTAAGTGTCGAATTACCCTTTAGACTCTTTCTAGAGACTGGCATAGTTTGCAGTGTTAAGATCAATTCTGGAGACCTTTGCCTCGAGATTTAGAAAATGCTTCTAACCTTTAGAGTTAATCAGAGTAAACACCAGCTGGTACCCAGAAGGGTACTTGAAAATACTAACCTCAAATATTAAAATTGTGTAGCTTACACTTTAGCCTGAAATTTAGACAATTTTCTCAGAGAACATTTTCTTTTCAATACTGAAGTTACTAAGATTCAGTCGCAAACCTCACATCCATCTGTTTTTCTGTGTTTTTTCATTAGAGCATTATTTATATGCAAATAAACACCATCCTGTGTCATACAGGGCAAATAAATCCAGCTTTCACAACACAAACATTGTCATGTTTTTGAATATGGCACCACTGCTGCTGTTGTATATTTGGTGTCAGAAACATTAAGTACTGTATGCATAATGCTATAAAGAAAAGACAAGGATATAAAAAAAAAAATCCAATGTAAAAATGAATGCAACAGTAAAGCGCACAGGCCTTGAAATAAGGGTATTCACTGATATTGGACAAACTCAAATTCCATAAAGATATGTGATTCTTTCTCACTTTTACATATATTCTGGTCACGGCTGGAAAGTTACCCTGAAGGGATCCAACTGACGCTTGGTATATATATAATAGCACTAAAGAAGTCAATACTTAATGTACTTAAAATTGTAAAAACAAAAGTAAATGCATGATGACCCATACTCACAAGGGATTGATCATAAATTTAAAAAAAATGTTTTGAAATACATTGAATGAATGGTAGAGGTGAACATTTAAAATCATGTAGGTAAGTGTATGAAAATATATTCTACTGGATTTATATTAACATGAGTTTAAGTTGAATAAATTTAGGAGAGCAGGTGAGAGATGGGAACAAAACAACGGAAAAGTTAAAGAAAACAAGGAACTAATTATCATGAAATGTAACCAGTTGTTTTTAGTATTAAAGAGCAATAGGACGAGGAAAAGATGCAGTCAAAGCAAATGAACTGCTGGAAAGCAGGACCCTTGGCATAGTGGGCCAGATGATACTGCTGAGAGGCCCCATTTATTAAAGTAAAAAACTTGGCACGTACTGCTCTCTTACTTTGAGCAGTTTCAAAAATCAGATGCTCGATGTGTGAATATCAAAGAAAGAGAAAAGGCAACTGCAGTGAAAACTGGGAGATGAAGACACAGAGGAAGCAGACTTACTTTAGCCAGCAATGGTAATGGCAGCCGTTCTGTCGCAGATTTGAAAACCGCTGTGTGCTGCTTTTTGTAGTGCTCCTCTGTCTTCTTTTCTGTCTAAATACAAACAGATACCAGTCACAAACACATACATGACAATAAGAACGTAAATGTTTTCTTAAAATTTCTGTAATAATAGAGCTTTATTTTTCAGCCTAATTAAATTCAGCAAAACATATCAAAAAAAGGAAGGAGTAAATGGACTCTAGTGTATTGATAGGTGTTCCTACCTCATACTGTCCTGGACTTGGGGCCTCTATCAGTTCCTTGTTGTTGAATAAAGAGTTGCGTTGAGCAGTGGAGCCAAAGCCTCCCTTCCTGGTTCTCTCTAAAAATGCCTTTTTAAAACTCTCACGGGCTAAACCATGCTCAAACACGTTATAGGACCCTGGACCTGGACAGAGTACGCACAGATGTGATTACTGTGTGTGTTTGAGTAGAGTACACTTTTATATATAATTCTTTTCAGTGGCCTGAGATAAAACCAAGGCAACATCCTAGAAAATCAGTACCTGTGACACTTAATTTCCCTCAAACCAACCAAACTCACTTGATGATCTTGAGGATGCTTCACCTCTTATCCAAAAGCTTTTTCAGTTCATGCTAACATTAATGGCAGATTCCAACCTGGCAGCAACCCAAGAAGGAAAAAGACTAAAATATATGGATTCATCCTTTTTATAAATGCTTTGTTAGGTATAAGTCTTGTGTTTCTTGTCTTGTGCTACATAAGACAAAAAGGTCTGGTGTTAGTGCGGGAGTAAGGTCGGGATAAACACATACACACACACTGCAAAACAACAGCAGAAGTCTGCTCCCTTTCAGCTCATTAATACAAACTGCAAAGTAGTATTTATTATATTAATAGTTATCTGTTTCACTGACTATCATGGCCATGTCATGTTAAAATCTGAAGTTTTAAAGAATGTGAGATGTTTAAAATGAAAGAGAAAATAATTCAGATGTTAAAACTGCAGATTACATGCTAACAAATACTGTCCTTTGACATTATAAAGCAATGATCATGTACCAGCGACGTCTGAAGGGGTATGGATACAAGCCTCAGTCATTACATTTAAGAGCCAGATCCATTATATTTATGAATATATTGAGGTATAAGAAATAAGTGCCATTGAGGTCTCTCTTATAACACTTTGTACGGCATCCAAACTGAACACAGCACAGGACTGGAACACATGCATGTACCCAACCACAGACACACACACACAGACCTGGTGTGGAACAATTTTTGTGGTTAGTGAAGCGCGCTGCAGTGATGCCAAACGGGCTTTTCTTCACTCCCGCTGTCCTCTTCAGCAGCTCCAGGGCACCGCGTGGGTCATTATATAAACCGACAGGGGGCGATACTTCTTCCACAGAGCTAAACCTCTAATAGAGGGAGACGAAAGTGAAGAGGACAGATATAAGTTAGAGTGAGAGAAGAAACACAAAGTGAAGGCAGGCACATGTATCTTCAGTCTAGGCACCAGCACACACTCAAGCTGTATGATTTAATGATTATGACTATTTTTTCTACGCAGTGCCCATTTGGAACACATCGCATTTTTGTTGTGATTTGACCAAAAGCCATGTTTTCTACCTGAATGTGTTTATCTTAGATTTCTCTAGCCTCATCTGTACCTCTGCTCCATTCACCACACCATAATGCTAGTCTGCCCCTTTTGCCTTTCTCTTATCCCTTTTTTTATATAACTTCCAATTGCAAAACAGAGAAAACAAAAAAGACAAAAATGTCAAGAAAAAGAAACATATGAGATAAAGAGTAAAAGAGACTAAAATGCATTCAGATGGAACAAAGTGGTGAAATGAGGAACAAGGAAATGAGACGGGGTAAGCAGCATCTTCAACTCAAAGATAATGATGCACACAATCAGGTATGCAATGTCCTTTGACTGTTTTGCTGATAGCAGAGCTGATTCAGCGCTGTAACTGCTTGGCAGGTTCACTTCCTGGTATAAATGTTTATCTGACAGCCTATTATAACAACACAGGCAATCAAGGGACCAAAGCAGATAAGTTGCCGTTTCTGTCAAAATTACTGAAGGTGAACAAGCATGTTTCTGTGTAGCTCTGAATTTCTCTTCAGCCTCTCGCAGCTGAGCCATTCAGCTGGCGGTAATCAAATGCAACACAGGAATAAAAGAACTTGATTACTTCAAATACCAGCATGATCGCATTAATCACATTAACAATCCCATGTACATACACACACACACACACACACACACAGACTAGTTTCCCCAGGTGATTGTTCAAACTAAAAGAACGTTCTTAAATATAACCCATTTATTGGAAACATTCCAATTATCGATTTGCACTTTCCATTTAAACAAGGCGCGGCTGGTGGAAAATTAGTTGTGGGGTAATGAAAATTGTGTTAGTAATGCACAGAAGAATCATAGAGCTTTTAGGCAAAAAGAAATAATGAAAGGAAACAATGAATGAGTAATGGAGAAAGGAAAGGAAAATGACTGAAAGGAGAAATGTTTGGGTTCGAAATAGAGTGAGAAGAAAGGAGAAGAAGCAGGAACTACAAGACAGGCTGTTTCAAGGCCAAAATAAACTGTATTCATTCCTAGTCAGCTGGGAGCCGGGGTTTGTGGCCATCTGTCAAACCAAATCTGCCCTACTGTCTCTGGTAAAGTCTTATTCATGTGTGCATTGTTGTTGTTTTTTTTGTTTTTTTTTGCTCTCTCTCAAACTGAATGACAGAGCTTTGTTGACACTTCACATGAATGCTGAATCTATTTTGAATTTGAATTGTTTTTGGTTCCTGTGGTTCCTTTTCTAAACACGTATGATAAGAACTGCCAAAGCAGTACTTTTGGAAATCATGGCCAGACACAAAATGTTCTCGGTGCGAGGTGCCTCTACAAGCGCTGCGCTGACAGAATGTCTTAACATCTGTTGATGTGGATTAATGAGGACACAGAGTGATGGAACAGTTGGAGGAGTGCAAGTGCCCTTGTGCTCTTCTGACCAAAAAAAACAAAACAATCCCCCCCCAGACCCCACTCACTTTTAGGGCAGAGACACACCAAGCCAATATGAAAGGACTAGCAGAGGCATAGCAAACTGCTGTGCCACTGTGCACTAGTCATTGGTTTCATCAATATGTGAATCAGAGCTGAGAAATGTCATTGTTGGAATTAGCTATGAACTATTTTGTCAGACCCACATTAGTCTACACATCCTCTGCTGTATTCCAGAAATACCACAGGAAACTCCTCTAATGTATGTATTAATACCTTTTAAGAAAAATATCATGTTCCATTCCCAGGGGGCCAGAGGCCACAGTCAAGGTTCAGTGTCTTTTACTTCTGTGATTGGGCTTCACGAGCTCTAGGCACCATGCTTTTTAATTGTTGTGAATCAAAGTTTTGAAGGTTTGTAATAATCTTTCACATCACATGAATTTTATTGCCTGGCTTTTAATTATAAAGTACAATCGTTTGTTGTTTCTTGTTAACGGGTTTTCACATAAAATGTTATGAAACAATTAGAAAACATGATGTGAAATGAAAGGATAGAGATGAAAATAATCATAATTGAGGAGAAAGGAGAAGGAAATGGAAACCAAAGTAGAGGAGTGGGAAAGCCAAATGGTAAATGAGGGAAAAGTTTTTAAGCTTAAAAAAATATCAGGAGCAAAAGATGTTAAAAATGGGAGCTACTGGAGAAGGAAGGGAGTAAAAAAGGAAAGGGGAATGAGTGGAGTCATGAAGGTAAGAGGAATCAATCGAGCAAAAGATTTTTTACAAAATGTCCGATTGATAATTTGATATTGGGAAACTGGGGAGTCAAAGGGAAGAGAAGCTGTGAAAACTGGAAGGTTCCAGTGCTTCCTCTTCTCCTTCCCTCCTTCCCTCGTTTCCTTTCCATCACTCCACAGGGTATCTGTGTCAGGTGGAAACAGACACACAGGGAGACGAAGATCTAAGAAAACTGTTGCTTTTAGTTCTGCACTGGAGATGACTTGTGACATGCACACACACACTCCTCAGGGGATGTCAGTGGCAACATCACAGGGCCGACACACTAGCACAGCATGTGGCCAGGAGTATTAGGTCAGACTATGACACATGCGCACACACATTTGTACAGCTATCTTTGTGACGACACTCACTGACATAATGCAAACCCTACACTCTTACCCTGACACTAACCACCACAACTAACTGTCTAACCATAAACCTTGCCCCTAACCTACACCTACTATAATTTTAACCTGAACCTTAAAACCACGTTTTGACCCTCAAACAGCCCCTTGAATGTGTGTGAGAAAGGGAGGACTGGCCAAAATGTCCTCACTTCCCCACAATGCTCTCACTTTCACGGTATAAAAATCAAACTGGTCCTCACACTGTACTACACACACACACACACACACAGGTCTCTGGATGACCTCAATAACGTCTGTAACATAAAACGTTTTGCTAGTTTCCTGGTGAGAACAACTGATGCATGATTCTAGATTTTATTTGATGTATGTGTGGGGCCTGGTATTACTCATGTTGTGGGGATAAATTTGTTTATACTGTTACAATGCAAGCACTTGATGCCCTTAAGAGGACAAAAAGCAAATCCCCAGAATGTAAATCATTATATTTTAGAGTGATGACTGGGTTTAAGGTTAGGTGTTAGGTATTAGGTATTAGGCAAGTAGTGCTTATGGTTAAGGGTTACAAGGAATAGTGGTTGAAATATTCCCCTGTGAAATGGGACAACCGTTCAATACCTCTCCATCGGTAGCTAATGATGATGGTTAAGTAGATTACGCAATGCCATTAACAGCTGTGGTGATTTCTCTTGCGTGATCTATGAGCATCGGCAATTTTCAACAGCAAATAAGAACAATGCAAGGACAGGAATATGATTTTGACACCAGGGAATGCTGGTGGATTAGTTTGAAGTGAGTAGCATTGACTGCAGGGGGTTTTGTAGCCCTATCACTTCACCCCACCCCTCCATCCTAAAGAGAATCGGGTCACCCCTACCATTACGTAAAACAAAGGGGTAGGGCTAAGTGGTAGGGGCAAGGAGGTGAACTGGGGTTGGGCCTAAGTCCTCAAGAAATGAACGTTAATGAAATGTGTGAGTGTGTGAGAGAGAGATGTGTTCATTTGCATGCATATCAGCAATACTTGAAAATCTATTGTTCTTGTGTCTGTCTGCAGACAAAATATGCACGCATGTATGTCTGAATTTTCAATGTGTGTGTGTTATGAGAGCATACACCATCGTATTGTGTGCATGTGTGTCAGCATGATAATTAAAACATCAGTCAGAGAGTTTCACAGGAGTGAATCCATGGGGCAGTGCCACAGAGGAGTTGAGCTATTCCTGAGATACACATTTTCACATCCTTCATCTTCACTCCTCTGAGCCTCTTAATAAACTCCTCTTCACCCCCATCTGAAGAAACCCTTCACTCCCAGCACATCAATTAAACAAGCTAAGCCCAGTTCGGTGTTTTGGATCTGTAACGTAATCAGAAATGTTCCATATTAAAATCCAGTTTCCTTCAAGAATCATAAATTGAATTTAAATGTCTCCCGTAGATTATGTCTGGGAAATCTTTTCAATATGTTTTCTGTGTCTATAGAGCATGAAGTTAAAGATGCTGATTTAGTTTTACACTGAATGGTTTGGCTGGCCAGGAGCTATGGGGCCAGTGCAGGAGTATTTGGTTTGTGAGTCAAAGTGTGGTTTACTTTAATACTGTACAGCGCCACTTCTATTACACATACAGTGTAATAGAATAAAATCAATCAAGATTTATTTAGAGAGAGAGATTCTAAAGATGGCATAAGCACAAGCATGGTAATGCAATCTAAAGATAGAGGGGTGTTGCGAACACCTTTATTCATGTCGTCTTATACTGAGCATTAACTGGACAGTAGCTGCAGTTGCTAAGAGACAGCTAGTTAGTGCAGCTGTCTTACGAAAGTACACAACCTACTTGAGGTAAAAAAATACCCCCAAAAAAATCAGTTGAAGCACATATTATGAAATATTTACTGTATGCAATACTGATGCCTACCAGTAAAACATTAGAGAAACTTGGCTGTCTGACTCATCTTCGTTCAGACACCACTGAATATACACAGGCATCGAGTCAATGCACTTGGAAGACAAAATAAAACACAAAAAGACCTGGTGGACAAAGGCACTTCTGAAATTGCAGTGTTGCAATATGATTCATTTGAAAATGTACCCACAGAGCAGTGAATGGTTTAACCACGAACTTTGCTGCAATCTGTTTGCATTGTACCTCGGTCTGAGAGAGGAAGGGGCAGGTGTACTTTGGCTGGTTGCCAATGGACTTCACTGGCTTCTCAAATTGGCTTCTGATGTGGTACTGGCCTGGACCAGGAACTCCCTGATAGGAAGCAGAGAGAGAGAGAGAGAGAGATAAATGTGGGTAAATCAAGTGTAATACTTGTTCTGGGACGCAGTTAAATTCTTTGGTAATCTCTCTTTTTTGTAGTGGTCAGTTTGATGATTAGAAATGAAATAGTTACTGAGAGGAAAGAGGAGAAAGTGACAGTTTTATTTCCGTTTCTGAATTAAAAGAAGGGTCATGCGAAGCGAAGATACAGCAAAAGTATTAGATAAACTAAATGAAAGAGAAAATTTAAGCATTTCAGAGGAGTGAGCAATACATGAGACAAAAAAATGTAGTTAAGAAAAAGTCATTTTCCTTCTCTACTCTGCAGTGAAGTCATTTATATTTAAAACAAAACTGTCAGGCTGGAAGCTAAACTATACAAATGCGTGTGGTTGTTCTTTTCAGTCATATAACAATCATCTCATGTGCCAATTCAAGACAACTGCTCCATTTTAGTGCAGTAATTACTGTAACTAGCAAACCAGCTAACAACTCTAGACCTCACAGCGATGACAACGGTGAGAGATAAGGAAACACATAAAAACACACACCCTACTGCAGTGCCAGGACATTCTTGTATTTGAGGTGGTTTAACTAGGTCTGCAGTAAAACAGCATGGATTTCTGTGGAGATAGTTACACCCAAACCTTAGAGGGGACACTGGTGAATTTCAGCATAATATATCTTCCCCCTGCCTTAGGACAGTTCAATCTTTATTCATGAACTTTGCTACAGTGTCCTCTTGCCAGAAACAAATTTCTTGAATCCGAGATGTTACATAAATGCATACAATATGCTTTTGCAGAGTAAAGCCACCACAGAGAATGCTTTTCTTATGTTAAAATATATCATTCTTTGGAATAAAGACACTGGACAAAGAGAGCAAGACCACATCTTTTGATCACTTTCAGCCCTGTGATAAAACTGCTTTGAGTTGTTCATATTCATTCCATTTTTTCCACATCTACCAAAACATTAGGGAGCCCTGTTAACCCTTTCTCTCTGCCATTCAGAAAATCTGATACTAGCATTACACTGTGTTGTCCTAGAGGTGCTCTTCAAACAAGTTTTTAGGATGCAGCAAGAAGTCCCTGATGTGGTTCACTATTCATTTTTCATCAGCCATGAGGCTCGGTTGATGTCACTCCATCATTGGAAACTGCAAATATATGGTCTCAAATAAAAGTGAACAAGATTGTGAGCTTGTGAAATGATGTTCAGAAGCCTGTGGTTGTTCAGTATATCATCCTTTGTGCTATGTATGAAAAGATTTGCGTGAAAAAGATGTGACCGCAGAAAAAGAATCGGAAAACAGACACTGTCTGTGGCATACAACATCTGCACAAACACCCTAGTTTACAAGCAGTGTCACACTATGTACTTCTAACTTAGATCTGTGTGCTTAAGTATAACCTCAGTGTGAGAGAGAATATGAGACAGAGTATGTACAGTACAGGAATTCTCTGCTTTGAATTTGTGCTGGTTTTTTCCGTTAGTCTTTGTGTGACATCTCTGTTCATATATTTTATACACACGCATTATTTAGATACACTTTAATAGGGATGATATAGAAACACCAGCTTTGAAATGATTTCAGAACACCATTTTGAAATTAAAAAGCACGTGGTCCTTCATTAATTCCATACAAATTAAGTATACTTATGGCACTATACAACTCAGTCTCAGTGGTTTGTACAGTTTTAAGGTAGATAATCCTAGATTTCTTCTTCTTGTTCTTTTCCCCTGTGAGAACAGTGCTGCTTCCCCATTTCTAAAAATAACAAGTGCTGCAAACATAACACCATCCATGGCAATGTTAACATAGAATTCACAACATTTTACAGGTGAACTGACTGTGAACTTAACATTTATGGGGAAATATCAGACTTCACATTGGTACAGCTGCATCAGTTTTGCTTTGATTACAGGGATGCACATAATAATGGTTTGTTAAAGTGGCTTGCTCTGTTGTTGCCCTTGTCACGTCAGAATGCGTATTTAATGGAGAAATCCTAGACACAGACTCTTAAACTCTATGGGACAGCAGCAGCCCCAAGCCATTAGAGGCAGACTGTCTGCTGATCTCCTGGAAGTAAAGGTGTTTGTCCCGAGTGTCCCCAAGGTGGGTAATGATCTGGTCAGTGTATGTGTGAGTACGTGTGAGCTGAGTTTTCAGGTACTAATGATGATGGATGGAAGTGAAGCCATCATAGTAGGGATCCAACTGCACACATACAAGCACAAACACAAGGCAAAGTTGTTGATTCACAAGATTAATTACAGTATAGAAATATAAACTATCTATATAATTAGAGTAAATTTGAGTCATTTTAAAAGTTATATATTTGATAAAAAGGCAGATAGCAGATGCAATCAAATGTTATACATAATAAACTATGCACAGGTTAATGAACTACAATCTAAAATAGAGAAGAGACAGGAGAGCAAAATGTTCACGGAAGCAGAGAGCAAGAAGAGAGAAAGACGTAGGTCCGAGTCCATGACAACAGGCATACGTTCACCTCTCTCTCTCTCTCTCTACAAATCCAGACCCACATTTTTTGACTCTGCCTCACCCTGGCCACCTCACTGACCAGAGACATAAAGCATCACAAGGCTCTGCCAGCACTCTGAAGTTCATATGCAGGTGAGTAACTCCCCACCACTCAATTGTGTCCAATGTATCAGTGGTGTGTGTGTGTGTGTGTGTGTGTGTGAGAGAGAGAGAGAGAGAGAGAGAGAGAGAGAGAGAGAGAGAGAGAGAAAGAGTTATTACACAGCTTGTGCTCTACTGCCCTCTATGGTCCAACAGATAAACTGATGAATCTGAAGCATCAGAAGAGGGGGGTCTGAATAATTTCATCTTTAATCAACTGTACTTGAATAAATCCAGAATAAATCCAAAATACTTATCTTGACTCTGTTCTCATTGTAAGTCATGGCATTCTATTATGACTCATTATGTGTGTTGAGAATCAATCTGAATGTGCAATGAAGAAGGGAGACAAGCTGTTGAACTGCTTAAGAGATGCAGCTGGTCCCATAGCTTAGAAGGTACTACTAAAATATGTCAAGGTGTCAAAACTGAATTATGATCATTTCAGTGCAATTACTGCTGAAGGTTTCAATGGGGGAATGAGTAGTGGATGCAATGTTTTATTTATTCATAATGTGCTTATAATGGCCTATAATGTACTTTAACATAAGTAAAGAAAGTCATTTTCAGTTTTTCCCGTTTAGGGGTTGCCACAGCGAATCGTCACACTGACGACTCGCATGTTGACATTTGGCACATGTTTTATGCCAGATGCCCTTCCTGACGCAACCCTGATTCAAACCTGGGGCGCAGCGCCTTAACCACTAGCCTACCAGGGACGGCTAGTACTTTAACATAAGTATTACTTAAAAAAAATAAATATTACTTTTAAAAAAAAAAAAAAAAGTGCTCTGAATGTTTTAACAAAACTTTGATTATATGATGAATATGTTCATTGTGGTCAATAGCTCCTAAAGTTTTTGGATAACACTATAATCATGAAATTTTGAAAAACAAAAAAATACCACAACCTAGGCCTACCCATACGTTTTTCAGCCTATGCCATTGGACCACAGTGGAGCACTGAGCAGCTTAAAAGTCAGATATTTGCCTCAAGACCAAAAACAGGACTAAAAGAAGAGTGAATATTGTACTTATTTTAAACATGCAGCTAGAAACATGACTCCAGGAGAATACTAACGCTGCTCTTCAGTATATCTGCTGGATGTTTGTTCACATATTTGCATTGTCAGACTTTATAAGATGATAATGTGCCAGTATTGTGTGTGTGTGTGTAGCCGTGCTTCCCAAAATCAATTAATTTAATTTTAAATCAATTGATGTTGGTTTAATTGCCACTTGTGGCCATAGTCTCCACTGCTGAGCAAGTTACATAAGCACACTTTAAAGGACCACGTCCTGAACGGGGCTAGGGCTTGACATTTGATCCCAGTCCTGTATAGCTTCTATAGCTGCATTATCATTTGTCTAAGTCTGACATCTATCGCACACATGTACACAAACACATACACACCTTCTTTTCCTCTTGCTTGGGCACTAGTTCATGGTAGCGGGGAATGATAAGCTCAGCTCTGCCTTTCTGTTCCTTTTGAAGGTTCACATTCTCATAGCGTGTTTCTGTGACTCTGTGGCACAAAAAACAACAACAATGCAATTGAGAATAAAAGACACAGACAAACAAACAGAAGAGATAAAGAACAAAGAGAGCAATGTCATTAAAACATACAAACCGTAAAAATATAAGGACCAATGAGGAGACAATACAATTAGAGAGGAAGAGAGACATGGAAAAGTCAATTAGAAGAAAAAAACAAAACAAATATAGATGGGAGGAGAGGACAAGAGAAAGAAGGAAAGAACAACAGAAGGCAGAGTGAAGGGGGAAAAACAAAAAGACTTCAATAACAGCTCTGTCTGTAACTGTAAGAGAAGTAAAGACAGCATTTTCAATCACTGTATGTACCTATGTGCATCCAGCACAATTGCTCACATGTCCACCTGCCCTTCTGTTGCTTTATGAATAGCTGAGCCAGATCTGTGTACCTACCAGTTTGGAAGCGCTTACTAAGATCCATCTTCAGTGGCCATCAAGAGGAATGCTATATGAGAAATGTCAAACATAACATCCTGGCAGTACGATCAAAGCACTTTGGTGGAGCAGCTTCTCTGTTGAGCACACATCAGCTCAATAGCAGTGAACTTGTGAGACTAGATGCCCTGAAACATCTAATCTAACTAAACTTTTGGCTCTTTGTTCATGCCTCAGAAGCATTTTATTCTAAATACATGCACTAATGGTTATCCATCAAATTTATTTCAATATAAATATCTCAGAATCACAGACAACGTCACTTGTTTAGTGAGCAATGGCTAACTTCAGCCATCTCTTTAGTGGACTCTTTAGTGCCAAGCATAATTTTGTATGAGAGATGAAATTTCAGTTAGTTAACATCCCAGACAAATAAGTTATTTCCTAAACTCTTTGCACCTGATACAAAAACTTAAGTAAAACAACACAGTACTGTATCAGTGTTTAAGGGAGTTGTCCTCATGTTTTAAACTTAAAGTGGCAGCTTAAAGCAATAGTTTTGCATTTGGGGAAACATGCTTATTCACTGCCTTGCCGAGAGTTAGATGAGAAAATCAATACTAAAGAAAATACAAGGCTAGAGCCACCAGCTGGTTAGCGAACCAAAATACTGGAATGGAGGAGAAACAACTAGCAGCCTGCATTTGTCCAAATAAAGTCACTGCTGCCAGCTAGCTGGCTAGGCTAGCTGTTTCTACTCTTGTTGGCTAAGTTAAACTAACTGGCTGTAGCTTTACATATACTGTAAATTCATTTTAAACTTATTTCACAAAAATATCAAAATACTGCCATGACACACCACAACAATCAATTATGTTGTACTCATTAAACTGTGTAGCATGGCATGAGGTACTCACATTTCAGGGTAATATTGTCCTGGACCTGGTCCCACCTCCACTGTCACCTCACCTCTCTTGCCTGTCATGTTGCCAAAGTGGATACCTTTATACTTCTGTGAAGAGCTCACATCAAACTGGAGGAAAGGAAAGAGTAGGAGACAGAACAGAATGACAACCGAGGAGTGGATAAAAAAAAGGAATGGCCAGAAGATGAGAACAGAAGCGAGAGAATTGGATGATAAATGGATGAACAAAAAAAGCAGAAAATAAAATTGACTCATTCACATGTACCTGGTTTTGCTTCCAGGCAGAGCTCATGAAGATGGGGCTGAATTAAATGTGAAGTTCAGCCATATGCCAGCATATGTCAAAGATCTAGGGGAAACCCTCCATCCTTTTTTATCTCTCTGAGTTTTACAACCTGTTTCTGCAGCCTCTAATCACTGCTTGAGAGAGGCTAAATCTGGAAATGGAAAAGAGCTGGCCAACTATTGTCAGACACATTTTAGAGATACTATGGGTGAGGTTTTCTGAAAACTATATTACAAGGTCCTTTCTTCTTAGACAGAGGTCATTTATTCATCAACAAGACAAGGTTTACAGTACAGTCATCCTAATGACTAGTATTAAAACTAATATAATTGTGATACAGAAATGATTCACTGACAGATAAATACACCCACCCCATTTTCACTTAAATTCATGTTCCTGACCAACAGCATATACCATACTGTATGATGGATGTGGCGCTCTCACATCCCTCCACTTTGCAATAATGACATCAAAATATCATGAATACAGCAACTGCCATCTTGTTTCTTTTTTTGGGGGGGTTCAACCGCTCTGTGCAGTAGTGACCAGTGAAATCAAGTAAAATACACCTCTCTTTTTATATTAAATAACTTATTAAGAACAAATTTACTTGAAGAATTAGCATTTGTACACATATCAGCATGATAATATCTACCAAAAATCACATAAATGACCTCTGGGAAAGGTTTTTCCAGTGGTATCAGTGGCTTCACGTCTGGGAGCTGTCACGGCATCCATATTTTAAACAGTCGATGTTCCTGACACTGACAAAGGCCTGCTGCTTGTCGCTCAATTTTGAAAACACTTGTACTAAAAAGAAACAGGCACAAAAACAAAACCTCCATTGATTAAAAAAAATCAAAACACCTCAATTCTTCAGTCGCGTTTCTAACTCTTTCTTTGATCAACCTGTCAGTGTCTGTTACTGGAGGTTACTGGAGGATTGGCAGGGATTCTCAAAAAGTTTCTAACTCCATATGAAGCCTGTCTATTTATCGTGACTTCAGCAGAGACCGGAGGACGAGAGCTGATGTTTTCTCCCCTGTGATCATCCAGTCCAGTTTTGAGGATGGGAGACAGGAAACAAAAATGTTCTGATGCTTGGAGTTAAAAAGAAAGACAACTATTCTGCATTGCACACAAACACATGCAGGCACCATGGTGGTATCGCTGCTGGCGTTCAGTTCAGAAGCACAAATTGCCTATTTGTGTCAAGGAGAGTTTTTAAAAGCAAAACAAAACACAGCTACTGGGTATAAACATATCCATTCAGCTTTGATAAAACAGAAAGGGAGGCCATTTATTATTTAAATGAGAATAAAAAAAGTCAACCAGAAATAAAAGTTTCTGTTAGTGAGGTCGTGTGTGGGCAGGATCCCGCAGGCTGAACTGCTGATGTTGCTTTCCACAAACACATACACAACACAGCATGCGTACAAAAATGAGTCTGGTTCGGCTGAAAGAACAGTCCTGCCCACATCTCTTATTTCCATCCAACATCTTCACACCCAGTACAGACTGTGTGCAGGGTGACTACTTAACTTCTGGGGCTAGTTATTTTAGGGCTAAACAGTGAAATTATTATTCACACAGAGTCATGAGCAAAGCCTATTGATCACCAATTGGCCAGTAAGCAAGTGTTGCAATCTTGGCCATTCCATCTGACATCTTCTTCTAACAGTCTGTGTTCCACATCACAATCTGGCCAGCTGTGTCATGACAGTCTGCCGAGTCCAATACTACATGGCCCAGAAAACCAAAAAAAATCTTGAGGTGACACTATTTATAATTTAATCCAAGTGCTTTTATTATGCATAGCAACATTTCACATCCATCACATGTGCCCGTACCAAGATGGCCAATAGCTATACACTACTCCAGTTTAATGACCTGTCACTAATGTTGTGTACAAATGTGTAAGCATCGGTCAATGCTGCAAAGTAAGCGTTCTGTCAATGCAGACCTGAACCATAATTTTAGGGTCAGTGGATAAATCCAAAGGTGTTTTTGTGTTTCGCAATAAAACTCAGGCAGAATGTGTCTTATCATTCAAACTTTGAAGCTACATTCTCAGACAGACACTTAATTCTGCCTCTCCACACTTTTGAACTCAGCCTGAGCACAGGGCGGGGAACGTGTTTGGGTTTAAAGAAATGAGTATGTCAGTCGGAAAGACAGAGGGAAGGAGACACACAGAGGTTGAACTTTCAAAGGGAGAACAACTGAAGTTGAGAGCTGCTAATAGCGGTAAATCACAGCATGCCTCTGTGCCTTTGCCGGTGTGTTGACACAACCTCGGCCAACACTCAAGGACGCTGTTGACTTCCCCTGGTCATTATCAGATGAAAAATGATTTAATTGAGAGCCAGACCAGCAGGCGTGTGCATTATTTTAAGTGAATATTGTAATATAGCTTGAAGAATAATTACTAATGGCTCTCTTTGTTGGCATGTAAAATGGATGAGCATTGGTGCACTGTGGTTTTTTTTTTTGTAAGTGGAGTTGCATTCATTAGCTATGGAAATGGGTTTTGGGCCAACTGAATGAAGAGGGGTGGGGGATCAGTGGTGCATTAGATCTGCCTAAAACTAATGGACCTCGCTTCATGGGTAGCACAAGTACACTCACACACTCCTCACAGATGAATGAAAGCACACGTGTGCACAAATGAGCACTTCACATCCTCTGATGGATGTACGTTCAAACTGCAACAGGGGTGTGCATACTGTAGATATGTGTGTATTGGCCCTTACCAGCAATGGACTGTAGTAAGCTGGCCCCAAGGTCATGTCTCTATGAGGGGGCTGCTGCTTGCGGAGCACACCCAGGGCGTCCTCCTCATAACCATAGGCCTGGCCTGGGGAAGGAATGGATGGGATATCTGACTGATGAGCCAGTCTGAGAATTTTAGCCTGCAGCAACTGCGCAGACTGGGGAAAAAGCAGAAGAAAGACAAGGAGGGCAAGGAGAGAAGTCAAGGTTTGCAATGGAAAGTATGCCTTGGCCTATAAAGTAGCTGAGCATCACCTGGGGCCAATATACTGTGATACTGATGAAGGGACAGAGACAGATGGTGAGAAAGAGTGAGAGGAGACTGAAGACAAGAAACAAAAGAGGGAAAGGTAAAGGGAGGATGAAAGAAAGAAAGATGGAAGGGGAAGTGTAGGAAGAGGAACAATATCTGCTGAGGAGAAAGAAATGAAGCCATCCCTGTCAGATGATTACCACTGGCATGGAAGGAGAAGAGTGTGAACATAATCTCTATATGGACTCTGTCGTGATTGGTCAGGCCTGGAGGAGAAACTTTCTCTTTATGAAGTGAACTAATCATTGGTATTGGTCTCAATCAGATAAAAGCCCTGAGTTCAGTATTAACTCACAGCTTATCTGTGCATGTATTCACTGGACATAAATTTAACATAGCAGGAGAATGGAAAGAGCAACTTAATCTCATCTCCAAGTTCACTGCAGGCTGAATTCAATACAGTACCACTGCTGATGAAGCTGATGCTGCTAGACAGAATACATCCTCCAGATTTCAGGAACTGTTCCCCAAATGCATATACTGCATCATGCACGTTATTAGGTGAGATAGATTATATAGACAGCAAATAAGAGGGAGGGTTCACTGCACCACAGCTGGAATTATAACATTACAAGGCTCTTGTATTTGTTGCGTTTGATGAACAGCAATGATACACCTGTCAAGGGGGGGCTTGCCAATACCTTGATTCATCAAATACAAAACCATGAGCAATGTTTCAATGTTACAAAGAGCAGAGGTAAAATTAACACACTGTTGTCTTCAGGCTTTAGTCACTTCCACTGTGTAAGAATCAAAGTGTTCCTGAACTCTGTCACTGCTGCCGCTTCTGAGGACTTTAGAATTTGGCATATTCAGTCTAATAAGGTTACCGTCGCCTATGATGGCACTGAATTTCAGATAGCAAAAACAACTTCAGTCAGACAGCTGCAGTGCCTAGTCTTCCCCATCATTTGCTGATGTTTTATATTTATCTATTTAAGAATATGTTATCACTTTCCTAAAACACTCCCTCTGTATGGTGTCTTTGTATTTTCACTCTTCATTATTTCCACGATGACAATGACTCCTTGATTACTGAGCTTCTGCACTGCATTATAAGTGACTGCTGTGCATATTAGAAGCTTTATCCTGCAAAATGTGGTAGAAATTCTGACTGATCGAACAAATTCAATGACATATTGCAACTTTCTTTTCCTTCACATGCCATGTTTAAAGTAGGCATTACTGAATGATACGTCGTCAGCTGTTACAGCTACAGTGCCTTGCGAAAGTATTCGGCCCCCTTGAACTTTGCGACCTTTTGCCACATTTCAGGCTTCAAACATAAAGATATAAAACTGTAATTTTTTTGTGAAGAATCAACAACAAGTGGGACACAATCATGAAGTGGAACGAAATTTATTGGATATTTCAAACTTTTTTAACAAATAAAAAAACTGAAAAATTGGGCGTGCAAAATTATTCAACCCCCTTAAGTTAATACGTTGTAGCGCCACCTTTTGCTGCGATTACAGCTGTAAGTCACTTGGGGTATGTCTCTATCAGTTTTGCACATCGAGAGACTGAAATTTTTGCCCATGCCTCCTTGCAAAACAGCTCGAGCTCAGTGAGGTTGGATGGAGAGCGTTTGTGAACAGCAGTTGTCAGTTCTTTCCACAGATTCTCGATTGGATTCAGGTCTGGACTTTGACTTGGCCATTCTAACACCTGGATATGTTTATTTGTGAACCATTCCATTGTAGATTTTGCTTTATGTTTTGGATCATTGTCTTGTTGGAAGACAAATCTCCGTCCCAGTCTCAGGTCTTTTGCAGACTCCATCAGGTTTCCTTCCAGAATGGTCCTGTATTTGGCTCCATCCATCTTCCCATCAATTTTAACCATCTTCCCGGTCCCTGCTGAAGAAAAGCAGGCCCAAAACATGATGCTGCCACCACCATGTTTGACAATGGGGATGGTGTGTTCAGGGTGATGAGCTGTGTTGCTTTTACGCCAAACATAACGTTTTGCAGTGTTGCCAAAAAGTTCGATTTTGGTTTCATCTGACCAGAGCACCTTCTTCCACATGTTTGGTGTGTCTCCCAGGTGGCTTGTGGCAAACTTTAAACGACACTTTTTATGGATATCTTTAAGAAATGGCTTTCTTCTTGCCACTCTTCCATAAAGGCCAGATTTGTGCAGTATACGACTGATTGTTGTCCTATGGACAGAGTCTCCCACCTCAGCTGTAGATCTCTGCAGTTCATCCAGAGTGATCATGGGCCTCTTGGCTGCATCTCTGATCAGTCTTCTCCTTGTATGAGCTGAAAGTTTAGAGGGACGGCCAGGTCTTGGTAGATTTGCAGTGGTCTGATACTCCTTCCATTTCAATATTATCACTTGCACAGTGCTCCTTGGGATGTTTAAAGCTTGGGAAATCTTTTTGTATCCAAATCCGGCTTTAAACTTCTCCACAACAGTATCTCGGACCTGCCTGGTGTGTTCCTTGTTCTTCATGATGCTCTCTGCGCTTTAAACAGACCTCTGAGACTATCACAGTGCAGGTGCATTTATACGGAGACTTGATTACACACAGGTGGATTCTATTTATCATCATTAGTCATTTAGGTCAACATTGGATCATTCAGAGATCCTCACTGAACTTCTGGAGAGAGTTTGCTGCACTGAAAGTAAAGGGGCTGAATAATTTTGCACGCCCAATTTTTCAGTTTTTTATTTGTTAAAAAAGTTTGACATATCCAATAAATTTCGTTCCACTTCATGATTGTGTCCCACTTGTTGTTGATTCTTCGCAAAAAATTACAGTTTTATATCTTTATGTTTGAAGCCTGAAATGTGGCAAAAGGTCGCAAAGTTCAAGGGGGCCGAATACTTTCGCAAGGCACTGTAATACACCACATGGTGACAAAAGACAGCTAGAGTACATCTCAGTGCAAGAAGAGTACTGCATATTATGTATATATAAAATGTAAATGTGTGGATTATAAGTGAGGATACCAGCAATACATAAGTATCTTTTTCTTCCATTAGATGACTTTTTGATGAGTCCTCATTACGCCAACTATGAGCAGTTTTTCACATAAATTTTATATACAAAAGGCATCCTATACACAGTTTATTGTAGGTGAACAACATAAGATACAAAGTGCAAGTCAATCAAAAAAAAAAAAAAATCTGTCAGTAACATGACTACTCATTTGCTTTGCCCTTATAGTTTCACCCTTACACTTATTTTTCTGGCAAGCTGCTCGGCCTGTCCAGCATCAGTCGTCACGGCCCTGAGTGTATTTCCTGAGGCAGGCGGCACATTGTAGGCCCCAGGGCCAGGTACCTCCGACGACACCTCTTCAAAACGCTTGGAGCGGTTCTGAAGACTGCAGCCACCGTGGATGTTCAGCTGAAGAGACGAAGGTTCCGCAGAAAAACGAGCCA